CAACTCGTCCACGCCCAGAAGTCGGCGGGTGTTAACGAGCAGACCAAGAGCCAGCTCGCTTCCCTCGGATACTAGATACCTAGTTGCGCGGCTGGTTGCTTGTGTTTGTGATGGGATGGGATGGGATCGCGAAACGGTTCTCTGCGAAGAAGATGGACAGCAAACCGATCGACCTTTTTCTCACTGTCCCTACCTTTTCATGAAATACCACAATTCTTATGTTGTGACGCACATGGAGGCTGGAGAGATCGATTCTTTCTACATAAAAAATACAGGAGTCACTTGGGATGAAAGGTTGTTCAAAATAGCTGACCCGTTATTTCGCGCCGTGGCGGTTTAATCCAAGAATTTCTTTTCAAGAGTTCAAATGACTTTGCTGTGACGAATCCGATGCACCATTTACCACCGCTACTACTACTTACTACTGGCCCCTTGCAATTATGTGTATTTCTAGCCCGCCCCCGGACGGAGAGAGAGCGAGAGTACTGCCTATTGTGTACTTGATTTGCGATATGCGACTACCCAGGATGCCGGACGAGGCTCCATGTTCCATCACCTACCATGCCGTGCCCACGCGATGCTGCCCCTATTTTTTTTCCTGTGTAAAATGATGCCCTGAGCGCCACCGATTGCCAGTCCAGATGATGCGTAGGACGTCACTAGGAGCCGTATCAGTCACCCAGTAAACCCCCAACTTGCCCATTGGAGTCCGATATACACACTTACGATAACCGATACAGATAGTAGATAGTAGAGATAGATCACGACACCGCCTAGGCAGCGGATAGAATCAATGGGATCCACCTCTCTTTGACAATAGTGGTCCCGACACACTTAATATCGCCTGGCGTATTAAGTGACCATCTGTCTGATTTCTAGTTACCTCATATCTCGGTCCGGAGATTGTTCAACTAAGTGGGTACAGACAGGCACTACTACAGACAGCAACTGTGGGTGGAAACGGATCCGGATCCGGTGAGTTTAGTTCTACAGTTTATTAATGTATCTGTCTGTCTGTCAATGGGTCTAGTGAGGTAATGATGGTATGATTGTGGTATTGAGTAAATAGATCAATTGATTTTGCCTGTGAACAATAGTAAAAATGATACTTCTGTAGGATATTAAAAATCCTCCTCTCATACAGAAGGAATGTTCAACAGACCTTCATTAGTTAGGTATAGATGGTCCCTCCCGGCACTAGTTCCAGCCCCAGCCCAGCCCAAGAATTGGTCCCCGTCCGCTTTTCCCTTCTCCGTCTCCGCTTACCGACGGTGATTGATGATCTGCTTCCCCCGCATCTTGTTCCTCTCTTTTTACCTTGGCTACTAATACTAGTACTACTACTGTCTATTGTAGTACTTACTTGCCCAGTAGTAATTAGTCTTATTACCCTCGGTCCGGAGGTATCCCTCACTAAAAAATCAAATGTCCCCTCCCTTTTCTTCCTCCTCTTCCCTCTCTTCTCATCACATCCCTCTTCTCGTCACACACACACACACTTGATTATTCCCCTCTTTCTTCCTCTCTATTGGCCAGTAATTCCACAAATCCCTAAATATTACTTACTTAGTAGTACTAGCCCTCCCCCCTTGAATCAATTACTATGTCCTCCGCAAAAGATAGATTATCCGGCCTCTTAGGCCATCTTATCCCTTCCTCTTCCTCTTCTTCCGCACCATCTACATCTGATACCCAAGGCCCTTCTACCGATCAGGAGCAAAACAGCGATAACAACAAAGTCAACTTCCACACACTTTCGCCCGCGTATTTCCTGCAGAGGTCGGCGGCAATCGAACCGGATGTGAGTTCATCTACATCGTTTTCCAAACTGAATAGGCGCAATTGAAAACGTTAGCGAATTGTGGCTAAATGATGTCTTCTTTTGGTGGTTGTAGGCAGAAGCTATTTACCACATCACATCCGATGGTCAGGAACTACGACGAACTTACCTCGAATTTGCGGACCGGGCAAGAGGGTTAGCGTATTTCTTGAAGAAGCGCGGGTTCAAGAGAGTCGGCATTCTGTGTCCGAATACCCCGGCTTTCTTGGAGTCTATTTTTGGGATTGGGGCCGCCGGGGCGGTGAATATTGGTGAGTTCATTACTTTCTATTATTTTGTGTGTGGTGTTTCATGCTGACGGTTCTAATAATCTCTGCTAGCTGTGAACTACCGACTCATAAAAGATGATATCGCTTATATATTTACGCACTCGGAAGCGGAGGTGATCATTGTGGATAAGGAATTCCTGCCCTTGCTGCGCGTGTATAGGGAGGCGAGGCCGGAGACTCCCATTATTGTTGATACGGATACCGATGCCGCGGAGGGTCAATTGTCGGGTCCCTTTGACGAGGCGGTTTTGGAAGGTCTCAAGTACGATATAGCTACTGGAAATAAGGGCTGGGAGGGGCTGCAGTCTCAGGCTGGTTCGGAAGATGATGTTGTTGCTTTGGCATATACGAGTGGGACGACGTCGCGGCCGAAGGGCGTCGAATATACAAATCGCGGTGCCTATTTGGCGGCTTTGGGGAATGTGGTTGAGTCTGGGTTGAATGTGTTCAATGGTCGTTGTCGGTATTTGTGGATATTGCCGATGTTTCATGCTGTTGGTGGGTGCTGTTGAGCTCAATTGCATGTCGTGGATGGTTACTGATAATATTTTCTAGGATGGACGTTTCCATGGGCTGTTACTGCTGCGCGCGGTACGCACTATTGCCTGCGCAAGGTGGACTATGGGCAGATTTGGAAGTTGTTCAAGAATGAGGGTATCACCCACTTCAATGCGGCCCCTACTGTGAACACGCTGCTTTGCAATCACCCGGATGCTGAGCCACTGTCGACGCCGGTTATCGTCCAGGTAGCGGGTAGTCCGCCTACACCTCATCTGTTCGAGCAGATGACCAGTCTGAATCTGCGTCCCGTGCACGTCTACGGTATGACGGAGACGTATGGTCCTACTACCAGGTGCTATATGCTACCCGCATGGGATCAATTACCCCGAGACGAGAAGTTCCGGAGGATGGCCAGGCAAGGGCATGGTTTCCTGACCAGTCTGCCAACGCGGGTCATCAAGACGGATGTGCCTGAGGGCACCATTATCGACGTCAAGCAAGACGGCAAGGAGATAGGCGAGATTGCGTTTGTGGGGAACATCTGTGCTCAAGGTTATTACAAAGATGCCGAGGCGACGCGGAAGCTCTTTGCTGGTGGCGTTCTTCATTCGGGCGACTTGGCTGTCTGGCATCCCGATGGAGCGATCCAGATCCTGGACCGAGCCAAAGACATTATCATCAGCGGTATGAGGACACCTTGACTATTATGGTAGCCTTCGTAGGAGTCTGGGCGGTGCATGCTAACGTCGTACAGGAGGCGAAAACATCTCGTCTGTCGCACTGGAATCCATGCTGGTGACTCACCCGGACATTCTGGAGGTGGGCGTGGTGGCGGTGCCTGACACACATTGGGGAGAGCGACCCAAGGCGTTTGTAACCACGAAGCAAGGTCGGCACCTGGAGGGGAAAGAAGTGATTGACTGGGCCCGGAACCAAAGTCAAATCAGCAAGTTCATGCTTCCGCGGGAGGTGGAGGTGGTGGCGGAACTGCCCAAGACGAGTACGGGGAAAATCAGGAAGAATGTTCTCCGGGACTGGGCGAAAGGGGTACCGCGATGAACCTAAGCTGAGGGTTGGGTTGGGGTGTGCCTAGGAGAGGGGAAGGAGGGATGGTGTGATGGTGTGATATAGAATAGAAACTGCGTGGTGGTTATTTATAGGGCTATATGTAAGTGAGGTTGTTATAGACTGGGAGGGGGACTCGCTATCACGGTCCGTGTACTTTCCGTTGTTCTTGGATAGCATAGACATGTTAGATATTTTGATCCGGACTCTTTTTTGATTCTTCTGAGACTGAAGTTGGGACTTTATGAGCCGTGAAGAAAGTACAGGTATTTTTAGACGCGAGATGAAGATGGATCGGAGCGCACAGACATCCCCGGGGTCTCGGTGATGCCCTGAAGAGGAGAGTTGGACAACAGTGGCATTGTTTGGGCCACGGACAACAATGGAAGCGGGTTATGCAAGTGATGCTCGATGGATGGGTCAAGCTACCCAAATGGATACTTAACACATATCGTCACATAGTGAAGCAAACAAGTGTGTCGATAGTACTTTGTAGCAGTTGTGCTGTCTTTGGGCGCATCAGAGAGGGCAGGCAGGCAGGCAGGCATACTATGCTCCCTCTGCCAGCATCCAGGCCTCGAATCAAATAACCCCAACCCATTGTCTGTGCACAGGGCAGGGCGTCTAAGGGAATGCCTTAATTCACCATCCAATACAACAATTCTCCCTCAGTTAATTGATCATCTTCACGCCACTAGGGAATGTCAAGATTGGGCAGTGCTGGTTGCTGCTGGGGCTTACCTCACCAGGCACAGTGACGGTGGGCTGCCGACCGGGGCTAAGATTTCCCCCTCTCTTCTTCTTCTCTCACTCTCTTCTCTTTCCCTTTCACATATCGTCACACCCGCCCATGCGATAGTTACCCGCCGCCCTGCTTTGCCTGCATCCCTCCCTCTCCCTCTCCCTCTCCCTCTCTCCCCTCTTCCTCCTCTGGTAGAACACTCAACTACCTTACAAACCCTCTCCCTTTTTCCTCAATATTTCACCTTTCCTAGCGATACTCTCTACTAAGTCCCCCAGCTTGCCTCTTCACGACTGGCGCCTTCTCTTGCTCCCCTCGCATACCCTTCCGACGCTGGGCCTCCTCCACACCCCTCCTCTCTCCCTTCCTTGCCTTCCGCTCGCCTCCTCTCCCAGCTGCAACTGCTGCAGGCACGCCCGACGCGCGTTCTCTTTCATAAGCGCCCTTGATCCGCTGTCCGCTCAAGTGGAACTCGATTCTCCTCCGCTGACTTGGGTCTTATTGGACATCGACCCTTTCCCTCTATCCCTCACGACCCGGCTTCGATCTCAGGAACCAACCGCTCTTACACCTGCAGACCACACCCTCCCCCCCCCCCGGTTGGATCCACTCGCATCGGACCCAACGCGCATCTCACTCGCTCTCTCTCTCTCTTTGTGTGACGACAGTCGATGAGACACATTCCATGCCGATCAGCCTTCCATATTCACGGTGAGCGAAACCAGGACGCAACTGAGCACGACCAGGGCTCCGTTCCCGCACACTTGATACCCATCCCGACGGCGGTCCCGATGCCCCGCCAAAGGCAACCCGCTCGGTTCTCGAGCGAAGCTCCCTCCGAATCCTCGACTTCGTCGACGTCTCCGGATCGCACTGCGGACGAGGATACCGACTTCTTCACAGCCCAGGCGAATGACTCGCAATCGTCGGTCGGCGTCGCGACCCGTGACGCCCATCCCCATCATGACGCCGACTTGTACCTGCCGCCGATCGGGCGTTTACCCCCGGAGATTCTCATCGCCATCTTCGCGAAACTGTCTTCGCCCTCCGACATGTTGAGCTGCATGCGCGTATGCAGGGGATGGGCAGCGAACTGCGTGGGCATTCTCTGGCACCGCCCCTCATGCAACAACTGGGACAACATGAAAAGCATCACGGCCTCGGTGGGAAAATCGGACAGCTTCTTTCCCTACTCGCAGCTGATCCGGAGACTCAACCTATCCGCGCTGACGGACGATGTCAGTGATGGCACTGTGGTGCCCTTTGCCCAGTGCAACCGCATCGAACGTCTCACGTTGACCAACTGCTCGAAACTCACGGACAAGGGTGTGTCGGACTTGGTGGAGGGCAATCGGCATTTGCAGGCTCTGGATGTCTCTGATCTGAAACATCTTACAGATCATACATTGTATACGATAGCACGGAATTGTGCGCGGCTGCAGGGCCTCAACATTACGGGATGTGTCAATGTAACGGACGACTCGTTGATCACAGTGTCTCGGAATTGTCGACAAATCAAAAGGGTAAGCTTTTTTTGCTGGTGTATCTGTACCATGTTTTGGGGGGCTCAACTGACCTAGCGCAGTTAAAATTAAACGGAGTAACACAGGTTACTGACAAGGCTATCTTGTCGTTCGCCCAAAGTTGCCCGGCCATCCTGGAGATTGACCTGCACGACTGTAAGCTCGTCACCAACCCGTCGGTGACATCGCTCATGACGACGCTCCAAAACCTGCGCGAGCTACGACTAGCCCATTGTACAGAAATTGACGACACGGCCTTTCTGGAGCTCCCCCGGCATCTGTCGATGGACAGTCTCCGCATTCTTGACCTGACGTCATGCGAGAGCGTCCGGGACGATGCCGTAGAGCGCATTGTGGCTGCAGCCCCGCGTCTCCGGAATCTGGTGCTGGCCAAGTGTCGATTCATCACCGATCGTGCGGTCTGGGCCATTTGCCGGCTGGGCAAGAATCTACACTACGTCCATCTGGGCCACTGCTCCAACATCACTGATGCCGCGGTGATTCAGCTGGTCAAATCCTGCAACCGCATCCGGTATATCGATCTGGCCTGCTGCATTCGTTTGACGGACACGAGCGTGCAGCAGCTGGCCACATTGCCCAAGCTGCGGCGAATTGGCTTGGTCAAGTGCCAGAATATTACGGACAATAGCATTCACGCCTTGGCAGGATCCAAGGCGGCCCACCACTCGGGGGGCGTCAGTAGCTTGGAGCGGGTGCATCTGAGTTACTGCGTTCGCTTAACGATTGATGTATGTTTCTGAGGGAGCTTCTACTTGGAATTTGATAGCATACTGACTAGCGCACAGGGAATTCACGCTTTACTCAATAGTTGTCCGCGATTGACACACCTGAGTCTGACGGGCGTTCAGGCCTTCCTGCGAGAAGAGCTGACGGTTTTCTGCCGCGAGGCACCTTCGGAGTTCACGCATCAACAACGAGAGGTGTTCTGCGTGTTCAGCGGCGAGGGCGTCAACCGCCTGCGCGACTTCCTGAACCGCATCATTCCGCCTCCTCCGCCGACGCGAGACATGACCGAGGCCACGATGTATGATGATGATGAAGAGCTAGAGGACGAGGAAAACCAAGTGACAGGCTTGATGCATGCGACCGCCGCGACGGCCATTCACGACGACGACTACATTGACATTGGACATACCCATGGTTGATACCCCCGCCTTCTTACAGCGAGTCTATTCACATCGGAGCCTATCATTTTGCACTTGCTTGCTTTTATTTTTTTTTGCGCCGCCTGTGTTGTACTTATCCGCGTTTTGCTCTGAGGGAGGGGTTGATTTTCCCTCCTGACTGTTGCAATGGCTATTCGGAAATTTGCATCGGATCCGCGGCTCACGGGGAGCTGCCTTCTAGGACAGAGGGAGGCTGTGGTTTATTTCTCTTTTATTTCTCTTTCTCATTCGGTTGGGACGAACATCTCTGTGGATTTTTCTTTTTACCGGAATGATATATACCAGGCGATGGCATGGTGCTGTAGAGAAGCAATCCACGGTGTGCGTGAGTGTATGGGGGGAAAGAGAAAGGGAGCGAGAGACTAGATAGGGTATCTATTGTTATCTGCAAAGGATGGCAGAGCGACCATGTGCATGGACGGAGTTTTAGCTAGCAGCATTTGAATCCCAGCATCGGCTTATTTTTATGGTGACTTTTTATCTCCGAGTGTATACAGTGACCGGAAGTACTTAATTAACAGTTAGTGGTACAACGTCACTTTCCCCACCGCCTTCCCGCCCATTTGATCATCAATCAATCGGCGTCTCCTCACTTCCTCCGCATCGCTGCTCCAACACCAACCCAGCACTCCTGCAGAGCTGCAATCCTCCGATGGCTCCTCTCAGGCTATCGCGAGCCAATCCACTGGCCTTCACCCCCTGGCCTGTCACCCTAATCACCACCGTCGTCTATCTCGCCTTCCTCATCCCACTGCTTATCGTGCATCATGTCGTCCCCTCGCCTCCAACCGCCAACCCCGACGGTCTCGACCTCGCCCAAGCCTGGGCCGATCTCCAAGTCCTAACCGACGGCTTCCACCCGTATAACTCCCGTCGCAACGACGAAGTTCACACCTGGCTCCTGCAACGCATTCATGAGATCCTCGACGCCTCACCTTCGGCCGACCAGTACCTCTCCGTCGATGAGGGGAAGCCGAAGCCCGCCGTCTTCGTCTTCGACGACACGCAATCCAACCTCTCCTTCGTCGGAAACTCCCTGTCCAGCTCCAACACCGCCGTTTACTTCGAGGGCACCAACATTCTCGTCTACATCCGCGGAACGGACGATGATCCCGAGAACTGGTGGGAGGAACCCAACGGTGTGCCCTCCGGCAAGGGCGGCGTGCTGGTCAACGCCCACTACGATAGTGTTTCAACGGGATACGGCGCCACTGATGATGGTGTCGGTGTCGTGACTTGCTTGCAGCTGATTCAGTACTTCATGGCACCGGGCCATGCGCCGCGGAGGGGCTTGGTCGTGCTGCTGAATAACGGCGAGGAGGATTATCTGAATGGCGCGCGCGTGTACGGACAGCATCCGATCGCCAAGTTTCCCCATACGTTCCTTAATCTCGAGGGTGCCGGGGCTGGCGGTCGTGCTATCCTCTTTCGCAGCTCGGATACCGAGGTCACTCGTCCGTATATGAGTTCGAAGTATCCGTTTGGGTCGGTGTTGGCGGCGGATGGGTTTGCGACGGGTCTCATTGCTAGTCAGACGGATTATGTGGTGTTTGAGGGGGATTTGGGCCTGCGGGGACTGGATGTTGCGTTTATGGAGCCGAGGGCTAGGTATCATACGGAGCAGGATGATTCGAGACATACGAGTAAGAGCTCGCTCTGGCATATGTTGTCTGCGGCGGTTACGACTACGGAGGGGTTGGTCTCGGATAAGAGTGCGCAGTTTGATGGCGCGCCCAGGGATGATGCGAAGGTTGCGAGCGGGTCGGGGTCCAGAGCTGTGTGGTTTGATCTGTTTGGGACGACTTTTGTTTTGTTCGAGCTGCATACGCTGTTTGCGCTGTCGGTGACGCTGCTCGTGGTTGCGCCGCTGGCTCTGCTGGTGACGGGCATTGCGCTGACCCGCGCGGACAAGATGTATTTGTTTAGAACGACTGCAAAGACGGATGATGGTCTGGACTCGACTTCTCTGCAGGGTCTACGTGGTTTCTTCCGGTTTCCGTTCCTCTTTGCGATCCCTACGGCTGTCACTGTTGGTCTGGCGTACCTGGTGACCAAGGTTAACCCGCTTATTATCCACAGCAGCGAGTATGCCGTCTGGAGTATGATGCTGTCTGCCTGGATCTTCTGGGCTTGGTTTGTCTCGCGGGTGGCTAATTCTGTTCGTCCCTCTGCGCTGCACCGCGTCTACACCCTTACCTGGATGTTCGTGCTGGCCTGGGTGCTCCTCGTCATCTCCACAGTCTACCAGAACCAACGCGGCCTGGCCGGCGGCTACTCCGTCTTCTTCTTCTTCTGCGGCACCTTCCTCGCCACTTGGATCTCCTATCTAGAGCTCTTCTCCCTGCCGCGCAAGTCCGAGTTCGCGAACCAAAACCGGCCGATGTCCCGCCGGGCCAGCAGCTACGGCGGCAGTCGACTAGGCACAGCGTCGGGTGAAGACCACGAAGAAGACGACCACGACGCCGAAGAAGAAGAAGAGGAAGAACATGAGCCCACCGAATCAACCTCCCTACTCGGAGGCGGCCAGCGCACCACCTTCGCCAACTACGTCCGCGTCTCCGGCGACCACCGCGGCTCCGACACCGACGAGCACCACCACTACCCAGGCGTCTACGAGAACGAGCAACGCTGGAGCGGCTCGCTCCCGGCCTGGATCTGGACCCTACAATTCCTCCTCATCGCCCCGCTAGTCCTCATCATGGTTGGACCCCTCGCTCTCCTCCTGACCAGCGCCCTCCACCAAACCGGCCAAGACGGCAGCTCCTCTCTATTCATCTACGTCGCCATCGCAGCCCTGACCACATACCTCCTCACGCCCCTCCTCCCCTTCATCCACCGCCACACCTACCACCTCCCCGTCTTCCTCCTCCTCGTTTTCCTCGGCACTTTAATCTACAACCTCGTCGCCTTCCCCTTCTCCCCGACCAACCGCCTCAAACTCTTCTTCATCCAAGACATCGACCTCACCACTGGCTCCACCACCGCCTCCCTCGCCGGCGTCCAACCCTACGTCCACGCCGCCGCTTCCACCCTCCCCAGCACCACTAACCAGAACATCAATTGCACCGAACACACCACCCGCGGCACCAAATGCGCCTGGCCGGGTCTCGCCCCGCGCGTTGTCCCAGACACACCATACTCCGACTGGCTCGACTTTACCATCTCCCAGCAACACAACACCACCGGATCCAACGACGAAGATGAAGATACCCACCCAAAGCAAGCCCGCATCACCTTATCAGGCCGCAACACCCGCGCCTGCAAACTCCTCTTCGACTCGCCCATCTCGTCTTTCTCCGTCCTCGGCTCCGCCACGGATCCCCGCTTCCCGACCACTTCTCCGCACGGCACGAAGGAAATCCGTCTGTGGAGTAGGGAGTGGGAGAATGAGTGGGTCGTGGATGTTGCGTGGTCGGGAAACACTACCCATACTGACGATGATAATGGTGAAGAAGAAGGAGAAGGAAAGTTAACCGGCAAAGCAGTCTGTCTCTGGAGCGATAACAATTCAAAGGGTGTCATCCCGGCGTTGGATGAAGTCAGACAGTTTGCGCCCAATTGGGTGGCGGTTAGTAAGGCTGCGGATGGGTTGGTGGAGGGGTGGAAGGGGTTTAGTATTTGATCTATCCCATTTTCTTAGTTTGGAAGTTAGGTGGTGGTAGTGGTGGATACCTCTAGCTTTATCTGCGCGCGTGTGTGTGCTAGTATTTGTTGTGTTGTGTTTGTTTGTTTATTTGTTGATTGTTATTGTTGTTGTTGTTGTCTGCCTAGCTGGCTAGCTTACTTACTTTGCTTGTTTGTTCTATTGTTCTATTGAGTGCTTGATTGTGGGTATTATGAGGCGATGAATTCCATGCGTTGCAATCAATGAGATAAGAGTATATCTCATTCACCTGTTCCACATACAACTTACGATGTATCGGCGTTTACGTTACTACCACATCACATCACATCACATCAATCACTACATGTTCGAAAACCCAGTATGGCATTGTAGCAATACAGGTATAATACATTAACTGGGAGCGAAACGGGTTGTAAAAAATACAGTAGAAAGAACTAGGATACATGTGGTTTGGTAAAGGGTAGATAGGTGTAGATGTAGATGTAGTAGGTGAAAGACAAGAGGAGAAGAAAGGAAAAAGAAAAACAAATCTATCTACAGTTTCAAGGCCGTCCGTCCGTTCCGTTCCAAAGGGGGAAAGTTAATCTCGTAGCACTCCGAATCATTCGTTCAATCAATGAGTTAGGTCTTGATAAAAAAAAAAGAAAAATAAGACAAAAACACAAAGAGTAAGAATGGTAGAATAACATAGTAGGTAAAAAAAATCAAATGTCTCAAGTCAACTCCACGCCGGCTTCCCTGGTAAAGAAAGTAGTTTAACACAACACCGCGTAATGGATGGATAAAGTGGTAGGTAGAGAAGGAGAGGTCCCTGAACGCCTTGCTGGATTTTTCTTTCTTTTGGTACATGGATGTGTGTGTATGCGAGGATGATGGAGGGATGATGTAGGTGGTAAGTACTAGCGCTGCTTGTTGCAGATGCTAGGGTATCGAGATGCCCTGGATGGAGAGGGCGGTTGGGGAGGTTGGTCATGACTTCATTGTGGCCAGGAACGAGTCCAGGTTGTATTCTTCCTGGTATTGGCGGTCGTCCCAGAGCTCGCCGAGATCGTCTAGCCAGCCCTTCTTGCCCTTTTCTTTGACTTCGCCGTCAATGTCGACCATGTCTACTTCGTTGCCGGCTTGCTCGTTGGGTTTCTCGGCGTTGTCGGCGGTTTCTCCGAGGTTGAAGAGGTCCAGGAGTTGGTCGGTGTCCATTGTATTCAGGCCCGCGTTTTGTTGGTTGACCACTGTGGAGGCCACGTCGATCTTGAATCGTTGAAGACTGGAGAATGGTTAATATTGGCAAATCAGTCAAACAATGTAGGAGCAACTTACTTCAGGATCTTCTCCTCCAGAGTACCGCGTGTGATCAACCGGTACACGTTGACAACCTTCTTCTGACCGATACGGTGAGCACGGTCCATAGCTTGGATATCCTTCTGCGGGTTCCAGTCGTGCTCCACGAAGATGACTGTGTCGGCTCCCGTCAGGTTCAGACCCAGACCACCAACGCTGGTCGTCAAGAGCAGAACATCGTAGCTGGGATCCGAGTTAAAGCGGTTGACAATGTCCTGACGCTTGGTAGCTTCCACGCCACCGTCAAGGCGAAGATACTGAACCGAGGGGAGAAGCTTGCGCAGCACTTCGCTCTGCACGATGTCGAGCATCTCCTTCATCTGACAGAACACCAGAGCTCGGTGTGGGCTCACATAGCTTGCCCCCGTGCCGAGATCACCTTCAGTGGGTGGGTCGACACCGATGCCACAGTCGAGTAGCAGGTCGCGTAGAGCGCTGAGCTTCGGTGCATGGGACACATCGCGAATATGGGACTGTTTCGTGGTGAGGTACTGTTGGACCTC